GGCTGCACCGCTTTAATAATGCTCTAAAAGTCAAAGTGATAGTACTTCCTGATGATGTTATATTGATAGCTATTTTATTGCTTATGGATTCCCAGGTGATACTACACCAGCCCTAATTTACGAAGGCATTTTTAGCTAGTTTGTTACTTAACGACATTAGGGTAATGTTTCTCAGTCTTATTGAAAGGGAAATTTTCCTTTGGCTTATCTGCTTCTGCTTGGGGTTGTTTCCCTGCCTTTGGCTGGGCAGCAGCTCCATCCATCCAAGTCAGAGGAATGGTGAGGGTCGCCTGTGTTTGCATCCCTGTGGAGGAGATGAATTGCTTTCAAGTAGGCCAAGTTGGTAAACAGTTTTAAGGCTAGCCTAAACCCTTGCAGCCAATAATTAGTCTTTTCTTACTTGGGCAACTGGGGGAAGCTGAGCTTGCTGGCAGCTCACAGGGAAGTGCTGACTGCTGCTGTCTAGTGCTTTATGGCTCCCTGAGGGTTGTGTTGCACAGTCTGAGAAACCAACCCTGTGCTAAAGGTAAAAAACAGGTATGGGGTATGTTAGACGTGGGGTGAAGAGAACAGACACTGGGAGGGGGAAAAAGAGAAGGTGAGCAGAGCTGAAGTCAAGTGAGTCTGGCAGTGGAAAGGAGATAAGAGCACGAGAGGACAGAATCAGGGAGAATTTGGAGAGCAAAAAGTAAATACAATGAACAAGGAGCTGCTAAGTCAGTGGAGTGAAAACAGCATGCATTCGTTTTCATATAAACATCGGGTGACTGAAATTTTAGGACCTCTCTTACACTTTTCTACTGTTGTGCTCCAGTGTTTTGGAAACTTTGTTTATATGATTCCATCAGCTTGTGAACATAGTTTAAGGTTCGATGTTACTTAAATAACAACACGGGTTGGTTTTACATATTTAAAAATCCAGATTATTTAGACCAGACTTTAATTCAGTTCAAGTCAATGAATAATATTAACTGGAATAAAAAGAGGGCGAGGGGAATCTGTCCTCTCCATTAATAATGTTTCCTAGTTGGGAGTTGTGAATTAGAGATCAGAGCTTTATGCAAAGCTGTCCTTTCTTTTCTTTTATTTTCTTTTCTTTTTTTTTAATCTTTTCTGTCTTTTCTTCCTTACAGAGTGTTTGAAAATTACACTTAAGTTGGGAAAATACAATCCCCAACCAGAAAATGAGTAAGTGGGAGATAGCTGCAAATGGAGTAATTGATTCTGATACTTAGATTTCCAAATACATCATCTGTTGGTGCTCTGGAACACTTCATAGTTTGTTTTGATTTGAATGTTATTATCTTCCAGTAAGTAAACTATGAAGCCTCAAACAACAGGTGATGATACTGCTAATGTCCCAATGGATTATTATTAAATGCGTGCAAACAGTGGCCTCCAATTCCAGAGGCAGACTGCTTTGGTTTAAGATTGTTCTCTCGTGGTTATTACAGGGCTAACAGTTTAGAAAATAGTAGGGCTACTTCACCTTTTGGGTGAATGGACAAAACTCCCATTGCCGTTAACAGGAAGTATGCCCTTTTTACAACAGAGTTTAATTTGGTTTGATGTGACCTTTCTTGAAAGGGATTGACACTAAAAAGATGTTCTGATTTGGTGTCTCATTGTCATATTGAAATATTTTTATTATTTAGCAATAGGATTCCAAGTTGGGCATGAAAAGAGTTAAGTGGTTTGTAAAGTTTTATGTACATTTGCAGATGAGAAAACCTGTTTCACTGCCCATGGGTCAAACACCATTTGTATTGTCTTTCCATCCCATCTTGTTTTGCTTGCTTGGTTGGTGTGAGATGATGAGTGCCTGCCGTGCGTCAAAAAGCATGTCAGGTGCAAAGCAGGTAGCTCCGCTGAAATACTTTCCTTGTGTTTTGGCTCAGTGTTCTCCTAGAATTGCTGAGTGCACTGGCACAAATAATAAAATATAATACGTGTATATTCCCTATAAGTTCATGAACACTCTTTAGAACTGTAAGGAGTGATGGTGATGACTGATCAGCTATAGGGAAGGTGATTACTGTGGTAAAGAAAACTCTGCATAGGCAGTGAATCCTGTTTTGCTGACTTGAAGGAAACACTTGAACCCAGCAGAATAGCACTTGCTTACCAAACCAACCCACCCTGTAACGTAATGGTCCTTCCTGAAAAGCTGAAGCCCAAATGTATTTGTTGTTGCAAAGAGCTAGCTTATGTAGATGGAAGCCGGTGATATGTGAATGATCTTTATGCTGTGTCAAGTCTCATTTTAAAGACCATAGGTATACCTTTTTAAAAGAAAAACAAACTACTTCACCGGTCTAGAGAGAAACATAAATCATGTATTTTTATCACCTCAAAAGACCACTAGAAGATGAGCTCTAATATTTCAAATGCGACAAGCAATCTATACACATGAATCACAATTTGAGTTCCATTACAACTGAGCTGATATATACCGCTGTGTGCTTTATGGATTTTACTCTAACAATATTAAGTAAAAACCCAAAGCTTTTTGTGATGAATACCTAACCTTTTACAAGAATTTGTAGAATTGTGGTCCAGAACAACAGCTTTAGCATTGCCCTACAGGCTTTAATAAGAAAATACTATTGCCAGTTTTGACCTCTCAGTATTACTCTCCGTAAAGGAAATGTGTGTATTAGTAGAAGGCTAATACTGCAAAGGTAAAAGAAAATGTGAAATACCAGAAGGTTTTATGGAAAATGCACCGAGACAGATTGAGAAGAGAGTTAAATAAATGAACAGAGTTTGAGAGAGGGATCTTTTGTTCCTTTGGCTTCCTTTGTTAGGCCCTTTTTTTTTTTTTTTCTTCTTCTTCTTCTTCTTGGACTCAAGGACTTCTGCAGCAACCCAGTACCAGTTGTTCTGGCAAATTCCTCTGTTTATAGTAAAGTCATCACTTGAAGCCCTTAGACTCCTTTTGAGAAATTCTTCTACAGTGATATTTTCATATAGGTTGCAAATTTTCTTTTTATCTCTGGGTATTCTTGTATTTTGTGTTACAGTAATGTGGGCCTTGCTTGCAATGAATCAAGGTTCAAATTCCTTCACCTTTGAGACTTTTAATCCTCTTACTTCCCTTTGGGGAAAGAAGGACGACGAGCGTTGTCCAGTGAATTCAGTGAGGAAGCCGGAGATGGAGGGTAGCACATAAGGTTAATTTTCAGGTGAATGGTTGCTGTTTTGACATTCTTGCTTTCTTTTCAGACATCTTTTCAGTTCTTTCCCTTTTATGCTACAAAATTATTAGATATGCAAGAACAAAACTCCTCAAAGCTATGCTCCAAAAGCCTATTAAAAAGAGGCTGCAAGCAGAACAGTGTGAACGCACGTCAACACCTGAGTGTTTCCCAAGTGGCTCTAGCACTCAGTGGTGTGATAACAAGACATGTGGGAGGATTTTTCTTGGCTTTTATCTTCCATATATTGATGCTTCTGACTTTTTAAAATTCATTTCATCAAGTGGCACTGCAACAGAAACAACAGAAATGCAGGAACGAAATAGTTCAAGGTGTCTGCGGTGGTATACAAAGTCTTTTGCCTCCAGGCCATCGTTTCTAATTCAGCCCAAGTTGGCAGCAGTCAGAAATCACTGCCAACTGACAGCTGTTTGGTGGCCAACATGAAGTGATTTAGCTAGTTGTTCCTACTGGACAGATGTCTGTAGCATAGAAAGTGTGAGTATAGCTGGCATGTGTTTCATTTTTAGAGACTGGAAAGTGTGGGTGTATCTCAACCGCAGCTACTTATCCTGGTTAAACAGGATACCCGAATTGAGGCAACCAAGAATCAGTATGTGCACAATTAAACTCCCCCATCTTCTGGGGATAAATCCTGATGCTACGGTACTGCCTCGTAGCACTTCCGTTGCATCTCCCTAAGCACTGTGTGGTGAGGGAGAAGGGAGACTGAAGCTTCGTCTCTAGAGGTGCAGAGGGATGTGGTAGGAGACCACACTGGGGTGACCGACTCGTCTATACCCACCGACTCAGGAAGTTTTTCAGCTGTGTCATCAATTAATACCTTTCTTGAGTGTGAGCAATCAATAACAAGTAGAAAGTAATAGTGAGGAAAAAATGGAGTCTGATTCATCTTTCTTTGTGTGGACATATGTAACACTAGAATTAATCTTTTGAAAAACATGAATTACTTTGGGTAAAATCTGTGCTACTAAGCAGAAAATATATCCTGCTGAGGAAAAAATAAAGAGAATTCTTCAGTATAATATCTGGTTTTGTGGGGAAGATAAGGGCAAGATTTTACAGTTTACAATATCACAGAGCTTTGGGATATTTAAACAGGCAAGTAAATGATAGGTTTGATTCACTATTGTGAAAACAGTTTTGAATTTTGGATTTGCAGCAGCAGTAGAGATTGCTCAAGCAAACATAGGTATGGGGTCAAGTTGTTATCCACTCCTTTTTTTTCCATTGGGATGATGTAAAGCAGGCTTGAAATGGGCTTAGGTGACGGGCTCAATCTTCTCGAGTGGGATGTGGAAGCACAGAGTGCTGTGCAGTAACTTCTGCAGCAGAAGTGCCACACTGTATCTGTCCAACCGGTATATCTATACAACTGGTGTCATGCTGTACAGAGTTACTATGCCTTCATGCTTTAGTTTACTGATGAGACAGAGTTAGGATTTTCAATGTTGCGTTCTTCTGTGTTTGAAAAATCTGCAATGGTTTTTGTCTTTTAACATTGTCATAGGAAAAAAAGTCAAATGTATGTGTTCCTTTTCCGGAGTTAGAAAAAATTAGGATTTAATGAAGAACAGTGGAAGGAACCCATTACTATGATACAGGAGTTTTAGCTCTATTTTAAGGAATAGTTTTCTACTAAAGTTGCCTTGTTCTTTAGCGCTAGAGCTAAACCAGATTGCCTTTGGAGTTGAAAATTATTCTCTCTTATTCTAGTACTGTGTCATGTTATTAATTTCACTAAGCCTGACTGTGACTTTCCTTGCTGCTTCTTCCCTGCAGATATTGATGAGTGTGCTGCCAAGATGCATTATTGTCATGCCAACACTGTGTGCGTTAACTTGCCTGGATCCTATCGTTGTGACTGTGTCATGGGATATGTCCGTGTGGATGATTTCTCCTGTACAGGTGAGCTCTTAGGTGTCCACCAGTAGTAGTGTTATACTCTCTGTTGTGTGTATTGCTTAGCTTCTAATTAGCTCCTGTGCCCTACCAAATGCCACATTCTAGCTGGCCCTCGGCTGGCATAAAATTTAGGCACAAGCATCATTGGTAAATGTGGTATGAGTTACCTTTCCTATGTATGGGCCCTTTGGGCTTAACGTGGGGTGCACACACTGAGTGCTATTGTCAACCAGGACATGGTCCTGTCATGTCCCACGGCTGCCTTGCATGTGAGGTGCAAAGGCAGAGGTCAGATAGCCCACTTAGTGAGAAGGAGTACAGTTTTATTACCTGTGGTTTGAAGCTGGTAGGTGGATTAAAACGTGAGAAATTATCGCAGAGGAGAAGCTTCTTAGACAGAGCTGAAGCAAATATATAAAACCAAAACTGAAAATGTATAAAGTCCTTAAAATACGTTGTTAGATGGTTTGGAAATTGTTGTTATTAACACTGAGAATTAATGTATCCAGGACTATGACACGTGATTTAGAAAAGAGAACAAGTGCAATAGCATTAGACAATAAATCCAGTGATTCTTTTTTAATACCTGTCAGCAAAATGAGTGCTAAAAATTCTTAGCGGAAAGTAGGTAGGTCTCATTTCCACCTAGAGGTTTTTAAGGAACCTTCCCCAGCAGTCTCTGGGAAACATGTGAGAAGCTGCTGAAACGCTCGGTCCAACTATACCTAACTGAATAACGTCTTCAATCACAACCCTCCAGAAAGGCTGATCTGAGGCTTATTTTGATGGTACACCTGTCTGGCAAGAGAGGAAACTACCAGGCAGGTTTTTTTGAAATGGAAATAAGTCAGCTTGACAGAATACCATGTTTAGAGTTGTGTTGGGTGAGCTATTTTCTCAAGTGGAAAGATGGCACAGGAGCATTCAATATGAGAATTAATTTCCAACCTGGAATAATTATGTTGTAATGCACATTATCCTTAGGGGGAGGGTTGATCATAGGAAATGTTGACTTCCATGATGACAGCACGTCTTGTTGCTAAGATTATGTAGTTACAAAAACTGTAGGAAAGTCCTGTCCACCTCTTCAGAGCTACCAAATAGCTGTCAGGAAATGGATTTTTATTTTGCCCAGAGAGTCATTATTTCAATATAATCTGTGTCTTTTGAGTAACCTTTTGAGTCTTTCTTGATCTTTTACAGTCTGCCATGTCAGAAAGGTTTCAGACCTTAAATTTTGTTCTAAATGTGTCCTGCATGAGGTAGTGGCCTTCAAAGTGA